TGAACAAGGGAGACTCCAGGAAATTGTGGATTCAGATAGAGAAAAAGCAACAGAGAGATATATCAGAAAGGCTCACATGATGATTGCAATCCCAAGGTATAATTTCAAGGACACGGTATCACAAGATCTGGCAACATTAACTCATCTGTGGCATTGAGTGGGTTGTTATTTACAACTGTTTCTGGTTTCTGGAAAAACAAAGCAAAACAAATCAAATCAAAACAATCCTCACCCATAGCAGGCTTTTGCAATCATAAATATTTTCCAATAATGTGGTGTTAAAGTTGCGAATTAGAAATGTAATATTCAAAATGGTTTACATTTCTCTCTTTCCTTCCCCTTCCCCTCTATCCCATTCCATCCTTTGCAAAATCAAAAAGTATAAAAGTACATTTCAAGCATGTTTCAGTGTGCATCGATTCTGGGGATAAACCAAGGGTCCATTAATCACTCCAATATGCAGTTCTAACATGAAACAAGAACCAAATCCCCCTCCCCCCCCTTTTTTTTTTTAAAAAAAGAACTACTTAAATTTTTAGAGCAGTTTTAGGTTCACAGCGAAATTGGGTGGAAAGTACAGAGAGTTCCCATATCTCCCTGCTTCCACACCTGCACAGCCTCCCCCGTTATCAACACCCCCCCACACAGAGTGGGACATTTGTTATAACTGATGAATCTACACTGACACATCATTATCACCCAGAGTCCATAGTTTACATTAGGGTTCAAGCTTGGTGTTGTACATGCTATGATTTTGACAAATATAGAATGACATGTATCCAACTTTATAATAACATACAGACTAGTTTCACTGCCCTAAAGATCTCCTGTGCTCCAGCTATTATCCCTCTCTCTCTCACTAGCCCCCAGAAACCACTGATCTTTTTACTGTCTTCCTAGGTTTGTGGAATGTCTTATAGTTAGAGCAAATTCCCTTTAAAAGTACATCAGAGTTGTCAATAATAAATACAATTGTTTTACGAGTACATTTAAAACCAAAATTCATTTCTACTTCTCTGCTTGCTAAAAGTTACAATCATATTGGAGGGGTTAGCCACGTTTTTGGGGAGAGGTATTAAGTCTTAAACCCTCATTTTTGCTTCCAAAATTGAGACCAAATTGGTTTAGAAATGAATGCCTAGATTAGGCATGTAAGATTTTTTAATAAGGGAAAAATCAATTAATGTTATTAAATAAGAGGTTGAAGGAGAAGTATTACATGATCATGTCAACAGATGCATAAAAAGCCTTTTTAATAAAATTCAGTATTCATAGTAAAAAATCTTGGTAAACAAGGATTAGAACAAAGTTTCCTTAATGTTTTGTAAAGAATATTTATAGAGATTATAGCAAATTTCACACATGATGATATGTTAAATGTATTCCTTTTAAAATCACATGTAAGAAAGTTTCTTGCTGGGGCGCCTGGGTGTCTCAGCCGGTTAAGCGTCTGCCTTTGGCTCAGGTCATGATCCCAGAGTCCTGGGATCGAGCTCCACATCAGGCTCTGTGCTCGATGGGGAGCCTGCTTCTCCCTCTCCCACTGCCTGCCTGTCTGCCTACTTGTGCTCTCTCTCTCCCTCTGTCAAATATATAAATAAAATCTTTTTTTAAAAAAAAAAAGAAAGTTTCTTGCTGTCAGTAGTTCTATTCATCATGTATTAGAGATACTAGCCAGCAAAATTATCATAGAAATTGAAAGGGAAGAAAAAATAACTCTTATTATTCACATATAATATTGTTATCTATGTAGAAAACTCCAGATCATTATGGATAAATGTTTGGAATTGCTGAATACAAAATAAACACACAGAGGCGTCTGGCTGGCTCACTTGATGGAGCATGCGACTCCCGATCTTGGGGTTGTGAGTTTGAGACCCCCGTTGAGTTGTACAGATCACTTAAAAAAAATTAAAAGAAATAAACACACAAAATCAACTGTCTCATTTCGCTAGTAACAAACGGAAAAGGGAAGAAAAGAAAATATTACAACAGCATCAAAAATTTAAAGTATTGAGGAATAATTTCCACCGAGTTTTCTGGAAATAATTACAAAGATTTGTTGAATGTCATTGAAGATTACTAAAATGGAGAGTCATACCATAATCATAGAAATGAACACATGTATCAGTTATCTCTTGCTGCACAATCAATTACCCCACACTTCGTGGTGCCAAATGACAAAGGTTTGTATCTCACAGTTCCTGTAGGTCAGGTCTGCAGGCGCAGCTTAGCTGGGTGGTTCTGGCTTGAAGGCTTCGTGAGGTTGCAGTCAAGAAGTCAGCTGGGGATGCAGTGATCTGAGAGCTTGACTGGGGCTGGAAGACCCTCTTCCAAGCTCATTCACATGGCTATTGGCTGAAGGCCTCATTTCCTCACCACATGGGTCTTTCCACATGGCAACCCAGCAGCTGGCCTCCCCCAGAGTGAGAGATCGAAAAGAGGGAGTCTCTGAAGTCATGCACTGTCACTTCTGCTTTTTTCTATTTATTGGAAACAAGTCACTAAGTCAAGCCCACACTCAAGAGGAGAATTCATTTCTATCTTTTGAAGGGAATGCCAAAGAGTTTTTGGACATATTTTAAACCACAATGTTCAATATTATAGAGATATCAGTTGTCTACCGTTTGACCAATAGATTTAATGGATCCTTTCGCCTTGTTTTTGTATATATTTTTTCTTAACAATTAGGTTTATAAGAATGTTTTAATTAAAGTATAGTTGACACACAATGTTACACTATATAAGAATCATAAAAATTTTAATATTTAGCAAAACTAAATAACATTTATACAAATATAGGTGATTAAAAACTATAAGCAAGAAATGATACAAAATTCAGCATAAGATTTACCTCTAGAGCAGTGGTTCTCAACCAGGGGCAATTTCGGCTCCCAGGGGGCATTTGGCAATATCTGGAGACATTTTTGGTTTTCACGTCTGGGGAGGTGTTATTGGCATTCTAGTGGGTAGAAGCCAAGGACGTTAATGAACATTCTACAATGCACAGGACAGGCTCTTAGAGGAAAGAATTATCTGGTTCTAAATATCAGTGTAGTGCTAAGATTGAGAAACCTTAGGAAAGGGAGTGGGTTTGGGATGGGACACGTAGGGGACAAAGTCATGGTAATGTTCATTTCCTGGAATTCTTTCCGTAATGCAAACACAGGAATATATCTTATAATGATTTAAGAGACATACATAGCATTAATGTTCTTTGAGTTTTCTCAGTAATTAATAAACACAAGAAAAAAGAAAAATCGTTGAATCAACAGACCTTTGGACTTGTTGGACCCGGATGGCTGGGACTGAACTTCCTGTTTTGAACCATCTGATAAATGGTGACACCATATAATGCTACATGTTTTCTTTTTCCTAAGATAAAAGCCTGCCCAGAGCATCTCCCTAGACTCTTGGCATTTTATCGAGAAGGACAACAGCTCCTCAACATTAATTATATTGTGAAGATGACCTTAAATGCAGACTGCATTGACGAACCCTGACAAATCCCTTAACTTGGTAATTTGTAAGTCACTGTCCTTTCAGATCCCCGTGGCCATAAGTCATTGCTCCACCTCCTCATAGGGAGGGTCAAAAAAGTCAATCCGGCCGTGAGGCAGAGACCTCTTAGCACTGGAAACATCCAGTGGGCAGAGGCCTCCGAGATGTCACAGTGAAGGCGCCCCATTAGCGGACTTGGGTGCCCTCCCAGAGCTCACTGGCAGAATGAGTCAGCGTCAACCAGGGGCCACTGGGCAGGTGAAAGCTATTCACCAGGAGCCCAAAGCCCAGACCAATCAGATTCTCAAGGGGGCGGGCCTAGGGCATCTCTAGCCTCATTCTGAACTCCCACATAAGTTCGTGGTTACCCTCGGCTTTAAATGAATGAAAATCAAGTCTTCCGTGATTAAAAACAAATGCTATATTTGGGGCCACGGTTGCAGAGAGCTGAAGCCTGCTATGTGTATCTTATACCGGAATGAACTGGAGGAGACAGAATAAGAGATGGAATTTAAGGAAACATGTGATGTTTTTTACTTTTAGATTATGCTCTGATTTTCCCTTTAACATGTAGTTGAATTTCACACATGATAACAATATTTTTCCTTGCAGCAGATGGAGCCTTTTATGAAAGGGGGTTTGCACCTTATTTTGTCTTTCCTATGTCTAAAAATTATACATAAAAACCCCAAATATGAGCAATTCACCTAAACTCTGCCAATCCTTTGTGTTTTTAAATAGCCAACCAGGAGTCAGTGGGACTACTCGAATCTTAAAAGTGTGTAATGACCCCCATTATGGAAATTTGAAATGCTGTCCAATCTGAGAGGGCCCTCTTTTTTTTTTTTTTTTTTTAGTGGCCCAACGCTAGCTTTGGGCACAGAAGGATGACATGTTGTGAGTCCAAAGGTTGAGCCAAAACCACCTCAACAAATGATGGACTTTGCTCAGCATGTCTCCCACTTTAAACCTCTGCCATTCCCAGCAGCTGTGGCCTGCATCTTAACATGATTCTTCTCCAGGATTTCAGCAGAGTTTTGGAAAGCCAAATATATAGAAGGTTTATAAATATTTTATAAATATATAAAAGATTAAAAAGAGGGAAGGATTTCTTTCGGAGGCAGCCATAAAGCTTGGGAAAATTCTCGGGTTGTAGAATGATGGAGATTCAAGAGGTCTCCACCCTGGATCTGAAGGACAGGAATGTGACGAAAGGGAACACTGGTGTTGGGAGGATTCTGTCTCACCGGTTATCTCCCTGTGTGCTCCCGGACCTTTCTCGGCCTCTCTCTCCATCCGGTCTCCTGGTTTGTGAGATGAGACTTTCAGCCCCGGGAATCTCTGGGATACCTTCCATGGCCAGCCCTCTAC